CTTCATCAAATGATGAAGATTTGGGCCTATTTTTTATTCCATTAGGTGCAAAGTCTCTGGCTTAGCTCCTAGGTCCTTGATCCACTTTGAGTTGAGTTTTGGGCATGGTGAGAGAGAGATGTTTAATTTCATTTTGTTACATGTGTATTTCCAGTTTTCCCAGCACCATTTGTTGAAGAGGCTATCTTTTCTCCAATGTGCGTTTTTGTCCAATATAAGATAACTGTAGTTATGTGGGTTAGTCTCTGTGTCCTCTATTCTGTACCACTGGTCTATAGGTCTATTTTGGTGCCAATACCATGCTGTTTTTGTTACTATTGCCCTGTAGTATAGTTTAAGGTTTGGTATTGTGATGCCACCTGCGTCACTCTTCTTGCTACGCATTGCTTTGGCTATTCTGAGTCTGTTATTTTTCAAGATGCATTTCAAGATTGCTTTTTCTATTCTTTATTTTTAATTTTTATTTATTTTTATTTATATATGACAGTGGAATGCATTACAATTTTATTCAAGTTTATTCCCAAGTATTCTATTTTATTTTTTTGAGGCTATTGTAAATGGGGTGGTTTTCCTATTTCTCTTTCTGAGGATACAGAAATGCCTTTGATTTATGGGTATTGATTTTATATCCAACTACTTTGCCGTATTCATTTATTAGTTCTAGGAAATTTTTGGTGGAATGTTTTGGGTCTTCTAGATATAGAATCATATCTTCTACAAATAGTGATAATTTGAGTTCTTCTTTTCCTATCCATATCTCTTTATTTCTTTTGTCTGTCTGATTGCTCTGGCTAAAGTTTCAAGAACTACGATAAATAGAAGTGGTTACAGAGGGCATCCCTATCTTGTTCCAGTTTTTAGAGGAAATGCTTTCAATATTTCTCCATTTAGAATGATGTTGGCCTGGGGCTTAGCATAGATAGCCTTTACAATGTTGAGGTATGTTCCTGATATCCCTAGTTTTTCTAGCGTATTGAACATGAAGGGATGCTGTATTTTATCAAATGCTTTCTCAGCATATATTGAGATGATCATATGATTTTTATCTTTGAGTCTATTGATGTGATGAATTACATTTATTGATTTCTGTATGTTGAACCAATTTTGCATCCCTGAGATGAAGTCTACTTGATCATGGTGCACTATCTTTTGGATATGTTTTTGTATTCGATTTGCCAGAATTTTATTGAAAATTTTTGCATCTATACTCATTAGAGATATTGGTCTGAAGTTTTCTTTTTTTGAGGTGTCTTTGTCTGGTTTTGGAATCAGGGTGATATTGACCTCATAGAATGTGTTTGGAAGTGTTCCCTCTTTTTCTATTTATGAAATAGATGGAGAAGTATTGGTGTTAATTCTTCTTTAAAGGTCTTGTAGAACTCAGCTGTGTATACATCCAGTCCTGTGCTTTTCTTGGTTGGTAGGTTTCTGATGGTGTCCTCTATTTCCTTGCTTGAAATTGATCTGTTTAAATCGTGTATATCATCCTGATTTAGTTTGGGCATATCATATGCCTCTAGAAATTTGCCTATGCCTTTGATATTTTCTCTTTTATTGGAGTACAAATTTTCAAAATAATTTCTAATTATCTTCTGTATTTCTGTAATGTCAGTCATAATATTTTCTTTTTCATCACAGATGTTAGTAATTTGAGTTTTCTCTCTCTTTCTCTTCATTAGCATGGCTAAGGGTTTGTCAATTTCATTTATTTTTTTCAAAGAACCAATTTTTTGTTTGTCAACTTTTCCAATTGTTTCTTTTATTTCAGTTTCATTGATTTCAGCTCTGATTTTAATTATTTCCTCTCTCCTACTGCTTTTGGTGTACATTTGTTCTTCTTTTTCAGGGCTTTGAGATGTAATTTTAGATCATTTATTTATTGACTTTTCTTTTTTGAAGGAATGAACTCCATGCAATGAAGTTTCCTCTTAGAACTGCCTTCGTAGTGTCCCAGAGATTTCGATATGTATTATCAGTGTTCTCATTTACCTCTAAGAATTTTTTAATCTCCTTCTTGATATCTTTTGCAACCCATTGTTCATTCAGTAGCATATTATTTAGTCTCCAGGTGTTGGAGTATCTTTTATTAGTGTCTAAGTTTTGATAATATGAATAAAACTCTGGAAACATTTGAGTGCAGATTTTTATAGGGACATATGTTTTCAATTCATTTGAGTGAAAACTGAAGTATAGTTTCTAGATTATTTGATGAGAATTTAGCCTTGTAAGAATCCACCACATTTTTTTCCAAAGTGGCTTTACCATTTTGTATTTCATCAGCGATGAATGAAAGTTTCTGTTGCTCCATTGCTTGTCAATATCTGGTATTGTCAGCATTTGGGATTTTAGCCATTGTAATAGTATTTAACAGTGTCTCATTTAAATTTATAACTCCCAAATGGGATATGATATTAAGCATATTTTTATATACTTATTTAACATCTTATGTGTTCTTTGGAGAGATGCCCACTCAGGTATTTTGCCTATTTTCAAATTGTGTTGTTTTCTTACTACTGTGTTTGAAATGTTCTTTGTATATTTTAGTTACAAATTCTTTCTCAGATATGTGTTCATTGTTGAGTTGCAAGAGTTCTTTATATGTTATGAATTCAAGACCTTTATCAAAATGTAATTTTCAAATATTTTGTACAATTGTTTAGCTTTTCACTTTCTTGATGATGTCCTTTGATATGGATGAAGCTATTAAATTTTGATGAGATTTTTATTGTGTTGCTTGTGTTATAGTGTCATCTAAGAAGACTCTTTCTAGACGAATATAAAAAAAAAATTTCTATATTTTCCTTCTAAGAATTTTATATTTTAAGCTCTTATTTTTACGTAGTTGGTATATTTTAGTTGATTTTTACATGTGGTGTAAGGTAATAGTTGAATTTTATTTTCTGTTTGTAGATATCCAGTTTCCTAATATTATTTTTTGAGGAAACTATTTGCACGTTGAATTGTTTTGACATCCTTATTGAAATCAGTTGCTCATAGTCTCAGAGGTTTATTTTTGTACTCTTGCTTTCATTCCATTGAGCTATGTCTTTTTTTATGCCAGTACCACACTGTTTTGATTACTTCTTCTAGAGGATTCTTCACAGTTTTCTAAATAGAGTAAGTCATCTGTGAATAGAGATAGTTATCTCCTAACTATCCATTTTGGATTCCTTTATTTCTTATCTAATTGTCTTGGCTAGAACTTCTAAGAAGATGTGAATAGAGTTTTTGAGGATAGACATGCAGACATCCTCATTTTGTTCATGATCTTAAGGGGAAAGCATTTAATTCTTCTCTATTAAGTATGATGATAACTGTGGCTATAAAGTTAAGGAAGTTCCATCCTGTTTCTAGTTTGTTAAGTGGTTTTATCAAGAAAATAGTTCAAGCATTCTTTTAAAATGTATGTTCTATACCTGGAATAATAAATCATTTCTGAAAATACCTCCTGCCAATTGTTGGACATTTTACATTAAAATTCAAAGTTTTAATATATAAACATTGTGAAAATATAGTGGCAGAAAGGGCACAAAAATAAAATAATACACATAGATGTCTAGTAGGATTAATTTGAGTATTTAGCATTTATAAAATTCAACTTGTCAATAAGACTAAGTTAAAGTTTCAACTTATTGTTTATACATGTGAATGTTTCAATCAAATTATTTCAGATCTGATTATCAGCATAGAATAAGCTTGTCATATATCTTAATTTGACTTTAGCTACTGATAGCAATATTATATACTCTTAAACTCATAGACTGCTCTGGCTTCTGAGAAACATACCTCAGACTATCTTAGGTTATCTGGTCTATTTCCTGTGTTTTGTCTGCCATCAAATCTCTGACTCTCTCCAGTGATAAGGAAATAATTCAAATAGGAGCAAAAATATTAAAAAATCATTAAAATTTAAACTGAACCAAAACATTTAATGAGAAATAACTTATTTAAAAAATGATAAGTTTTTACTTAAAGACAAAACAAAGCACCAAAATAAAAAGGTAAGTATACATAATATGGAGAAAAACCTAGAATAATACAGGTGAAACTTTGCAATGCAGGAATACATTAAACTTCCAACAGGATTTTCACAGAACTTAACCAGCTTGTCCTAAAATTGATATAAACATCAGAGTAGCTTTAGAATTATCAAGATTATTTTTGGAGAATAATAGTATAAGGAAGAAATTTACCTGACTGAACATCAAAATTTATTTTAGCCAGGTGTGGTGGCACACGCCTGTAATCCCAGTGATTCAGGAGGCTGAGGCAGGAGGACCACAAATTCAAAGCCAACCTCAGCAAATTAGCAAGGCCCTAAGGAACTTAGTCAGACTCTGGTTCATAATAAAAAATAAAATGGGTTGGGGATGTGGCTCAGCAGTAAAGGGCCTCTGGGTTCAATCTCTAGTACCAAAGATTTATCTTAAAGCAATAATAATTAAGATAATTGGTATAGTTATTATCTATTTATAAACTACTAGACATTATTTCAATCTTTACAAATGTTAACTCATAAAAATTCCTTGAATAATAGAGTTTCCTCCCATGTCCGCATCTTATATATGAGGAAACTGAGTCACAGAAAGTTTAGTGATTTTCTTATGATCATTTACATAGTAACTTACACAGTTAAGACACAAATCCAGGAGCCTGTGTTCTTAACCATTATTTTGCACTGCCTCATGGTGTGCTTAAATAGAACAATGGGAAAAGTAGGCCAAAATGTCTGGAACTTGGCTTAATTAATTGTTAGCCTGCATATATTTTGCCCCAATTTTTTCCCTTTTTCCATCTTAAATTTTTTTTAGATATTTATTTTTTAGTTTTTGGTGGACACAATATCTTTATTTTATTTCTATGTGGTGTTGAGGATCAAACCCAGTGCCCCTCGCATGCCAGGCGAGCACTCTACCGTTTGAGCCACATCCCCAGACCCCCATCTTAAAAATTTTAATATTTAATTAGTAATAAAAAAATCTCTTTCAACAAACATTTAGGAATTTCTGCTGCTTGGAGCCACAGCCATAGAAGATCGTCTTCAAGCAAATGTTCCAGAAACTATATCAACTCTACTGAAAGCAAACATAAAAATATGGGTCTTGACAGGAGATAAACAAGAAACTGCAGTTAACATAGGTAACACATGTAAAGAAATTTTTATAAAAACTTTATGTACATTCTAGGACTATTCATTTTGATATAATTATAAGAGCATGGACTATATTTTGTTCTAATTCAGTCCTCAGTACTTTTTCTTTGCCTCCCCTCCTCCTTCCTCCTTTTCCTTTCTCTCTACTGATAATTTGTGCTATTTTAGTTTTAGTTGTTGTTGTTGTTGTTTTTTAATCAGTGTCTTGTAGATGTAAGTGCTGGTGATATTCACATAGGAAAGTTAGGTCCGATTAATTCCACTGTCTTTCCTTATCTCATTCCTCCTCCTCTTCCTTGGTTTATTCCACTGACCTTTCTCCTCTTCCTCCTCCTTCCTCCTCCTCCTCCCCTCTTCTTCCTCCTCCTCCTCCTCTTCTTCTCTTTTTTTCTTCTCCTCTTCCTCCTCCTCCCCCTCCTCCTCCTCTTTCTCCTCCTCCTCTTTCTCCTCCTCCTCCTCCTCCTTCTTCTTCTTCTTCACCCTGCCAGCCATTTTGGATTAGCTTCTGCATATTAGAGAAAACATTTTTGACGTTTGACTTTTGGGGAATGGCTTTATTTCATTTAGCATGATAGTCTCCAATTCCATCCATTTACTGGCAAATGCCATAAAGTCATTCTTCTTTATGGCTGAGTAATACTTGAAAAAATATAAATATATATAGCATTTTCTTTATCCATTCATCTGTTGAAGGGCACATAGATTGGCTTCATAGCTTGGCTATTGTGAATTTTGCTGCTATAAACATTGATGTGGCTATGTCACTGTAGTATGTTGATTTTAATATTCTGGATACATACCGTGGAGTAGGATAGCTGGGTATGTCATATATATTACTCATAAACATTTAATTATTGGTGACAATATCCAGTTGGTATTTTTCCCCCTCAAGTTTTCTATGTTACTTCCTCTCTTCAATATCGTTTTTTTTTTTTTTTTTTTAAGTTTATTGATGTATCTTAGGGCTCATAGAGCATTCCAGGCACAGAGAACAGTGAGCACAAGGCTTATCATATTTGAGGAACGGTAGTTCCTTGTGCCTGGATCATGAGAACAAAACAGAAAAAAGTTCAGCCTCAGGAAGGACCATTTAATGTTAGATCCTCACCAGAGACTGAACCAAACAGGGTTGCCTAAACTTGGACTTTCAGCCTCCAAAACCATGAACTAAATAAACCTCTTTTCAAGACAAACAAAACAAACAAACAACAACAACAACAAAACACTATTGGAAGAATTGTATAAGTTTGTTTCTTTTAGCCACACTGAGGCTTTTTAGCCCCAATCTGTTGATAAAATCAGAATAAAATCAGAATTTAATTTCTGCAGACTTGGAATTATAAAGCATGAACCTTCTAAGCTCAGGTCTAGAAAGACAATACTAACTTAAATGACAGAAATTTTTAAATGCAGATTTAGCTATTGGTTGTATTCATCTTCTAAATCATTTCTATGTAAGTTGAATGCTAACACTAAAATGAACCAATATTTTAATTCTCTTCCCCTCTATAACATCTTGCTCAGTTTTTGTGATAGATTATTAGGCTTTGAAATACTCGTGAAGCAGAGGGAATGATGAAGGAAGAATATAAACGGTTTGTTTTCAATGCTCATTGAAGGCATTGGATCTTCAAATATATCTTTATTTCTCTGTTTTTGTAGCATTTTCCTGCAAACTGATATCAAGTACCACACCTCGTATTTATTTGAATGCAGATTCATTTGAGGTAAGTGATTTTTTTAAAAAAATATATATGTAATATGAATGCAACCCATTTGTTACTAGGGGTTTTATCTACCTCCTCCAAATCTACTTGAGGTTGCCTTTCATTCCCTTTAACAATAGAGCTAAGAGCTCCATTGGAAAGTCCTGGTTTTACCCAAGATTTTTTTTCCAAGAATCTGCAAATCTTACTGTATTTTTGCTATAGGTCATCTCTGATTCCTGCTTATTCTTCCTTCTGCTGAGTACATATGGCCTACTTTGCTTGAGACTGGTCTTTTATCACCACCCTGAGGCCACAACAAATCCAAGACTCAGATCCTTGATTTTAAAAATAAAAAAAAAAAAAAAATTCATGTATCTAGCCATCTTTGTTGGAAGTTGGAGTCAATAGATGACATTTATATTGCAAGAATAAAATTAATTTGGAATGAAATATTAAACATCTTTGCCCTTAAAAGTTAAAATCTCTATAGTCAGATATTTTCTGATAGACATTTTTTTTGCCATATAATGTGCTTAAATTGACTTTTGAAGAATTTTAAGTAGACTTCATTTATTCCTTCTCTAACAGTTTTTAAAACAAATGTAGCTCTGAATTTTCTGACATAATTTTTCTTTTCTGTAGAAAAACTTTTAAAATATTTCTCATATTGCAAATATGCTGGTGATAAATTCCTTCAGTTTTTGTTTGAGAAAATCTTGATTTCTATTTCATTTTTAAGGATAATTTCACTAGATATAGAATTCTAGGTTGGTGATTCTTGTTCATTCAATACTTTAAATGCTTTACTTCACTCTCTTCTGATGAGAAGAGAGTTATATATAGAGTCTGTTATAATTCTTATGTTTGTTTTTCCTTAGATAAGATTTTTTTCCTTCTAATTTCTTTCAAGACTTTCTTTTATCTTTGGTTCTCTGCAGTGTGGATTTGTTACAGAATAGGTGTGGATATTTTGGATATTTATCCGAAGTTCTTGGTCTATGGTTTTGGTCTGCCATTAACTTTGGAAAATTCTTGACTATTACTACTTAAACTTTTCTTCTCTTCTGTTTTCTGTTCTCTTTTATTTCAATTACCTGTATTACAACTTTGAAAAATTATCTCACAATTCTTGGATATTTATTTGTTTCTTTACCTCTCTTTACATTTATTTTTCCTCTTTGTATTTCAGTTTTGGGGATTTCCATTGACATATATGCAAACTTAGTAATTCTTTCCTTGTCTGTGTCCTGTTTAATGTTGAGCTGGTTAAAGAAAATCTTTATTTCTGTTACAGAGTCTTTTAATTTCTAGCATTTCCTTCTTATTCTTTCTTAGAGAAAGAATTCTCTCTGCTTATTTTGCCCATCTGTTATTTTATGTTTTCTACTTTTTTGATTAGTTATTAGCATATTAATTATAGTTGTTTGAAATTCACGGCCTGATATTTTCAGAATGTTCATTAATTTCAGTCTGATTCTTCCGCTTGCTCTGTCTCTCAGAGAGTGTTCTTCCTAGCCTTTTAAAATGCCTTGTTAAAAGCTGAACATGATATATCTGGCAATAGGAACAGAAGCTAAGACCCTTAACTTGAAGTTTTATCTGTCTAGGAATGTTTAATGTTCCATGCCCTCTCCCAGTAGCATCACTCTCTGGGAACTCTCAGATGTCCAACTACCTGAAAGCTCTCTGAAATCAATTTTTTGGAGGTATTTGTGGAAATTTCATCATATATATGCTTGATTAAATACTGGCCATTGGCCATCAACTTAACCATCAACCTTTCTTCCCTCCCCAGAGGTTGTCAGGACAGTGCTGAAAGTCCCAACCCTCTTGATCATGCCTCGGTCTTTCAGATGATCATCTCCCACTCTAATGCTACCTTCCTGCCTCCTGCCACCAGGTATCTCATTAGTGTACAAAAAGACAGTCTTAGCACTGTGGAGAGTCCAAGGGTTTCAGGAGCTATATGACAGAACACTAGTCTTGCTCTGGTGCATGTACTTTGGAAAGCACTATTTCACTTAAATATTGTGTTTCATACAATGACTCTGGTACTTTCTCTCTCTAAACTTTCCTTAAGTTTCTATAAACTTTAAACCTTTTTATTTTCAAAGCTCATTTCTAAATAATCATTATTTAATGGTGGACACTTTTTTTTTACATAATGGAAGCACACATTTAATTTTCCATATAATGTGCTGCAAGTTACCAAACTTTTAACTCACGTCATTGAATTTTGCACAGTTAATGTTAATGTACTCTATTTTTAGAACAGTTTATTTATTTTATTGCTGCATTAAAAATAATAACACTAATGTAGCAGCTTAAGGCATCTTAAATTTATTATCTAACAGTTTTCATGAGTGAGGAATTTGGCATATTTTATCTAGTTCCACTGCCAAGTGTCTCACAAGGCTTTTATGGTTTAGATATGTGATGTTCTCCAAAAGTTCATGCGCAAGAAAATGCTAGAATTTTTAGAGCTGAAGTGATTAAATTATGAGAGGTATAACATAATCAGTGGATTAATCCACTGAAATGAATTAATCAGGTAGTGTATAGCTGGAGGAAGTAAGTCATTGCAGTTGTGCCTTTGAGATTAGTGTCTTGTCTTTGGTGAGAGGAGCGCTCTC